CCAGCGCTTAACCATTGCTCCACCAAGCATCCATACCAAACCCATTTCTGTCGAGTCAATTCTAACTCATAGCGACCCTGTATGACAGAGCACATAGGGTTTCCAAGGAGCAGCTGGTGGATTTGAACTGTTGACCTTTTGGTTAGCACTCAAACTCTTAACCACTGCATCACCAGGGTTCCAAAAGACACCTTGATATCCTAGACCTCATAGGTACAAGTTCCTCTGAGAGCTGTCACTAGGTACTTCCTTTTATAGCTGTCAGCATCCATTTCCTAACCACATCAAATCATCTCTGGCCCCAGAGGAACCTATAATCATTTGGCTGCTCTTACTTCAACATCCCACACGCACTTTTTAAATATTTTTTATTGTTGTAATTAAATGAAGTTTACATTTCAAGTTAGTCTCCCACACAAATTTTTTTTTTATATACACTGTTATGAGACCCTAATTGCTCACCCCATTCTGCGACAGCACACTCCTCCTTTCCGTCCCTTATTCCCCGTGAGCATTCAACCAGCTCCTAACTCTCTCTGCCTTCCCATCTCACCTCTGGAGAGAAGCTGCCCCTTTGGTCTCTTGTATCTACTTGACTAAGAGGCACATTCTTCACGAGTATCACTTTATGTCCCACAGTCCAGTCCAATCCCTGTCTGAAGAGTGGGCCTCAGAAATTGTTTTAGTTCTGGGCTGATAGAGAGTCCAGGGGCCATGCTTTCTGGGGCACCTCCAATCTCAGTCGGACCATTAAGTTTGGTCTTCTTACTAGAATTTAAGTTCTGCACCCCATCCTTCTACTGCTCTATCAGGGACTCTCTGTTGTGTTCCCTATCAGGACGTTCCTTGGTGGTAGCCGGGCACCATCTAGTTCTTCTGGTCTCAGGCTGATGAAGTCTCTGGTTTATGTGGCCCATTCTGTCTCTTGGGCTAATACTTTCCTTGTGTCTTTGGTGTTCTTTGTTCTCCTTTACTCCAAGTGGTGGGGACCAACTGATGCATCTTAGATGGCTGCTTGCAAGCTTTTAAGACCCCAGATGCCACTCACCAAAGTAGGATGCAGAACATTTTCTTAATAAGCTTTGTTATGCCAATTGACCTAGATGTCCCCTGAAAGCATGGTTCCCAGACCCCCTATCCCTGCAACTCTCTCTCTCAAAATATTTGATTGTATTCAGGAAACTTCTTAGCTTTGGTTTAGTCCAGTTATGCTGACTTCCACTGTAGTGCCCACAAACACTTTGGACAGACACTTTCTTTACTTTCACCTTAGAGTCAACTCTAGCAGTACTTCCTATCCTTAGTGCCTACATTTTCTGCTTTTATCCTACTGACCACTCCCACCCATCCCTCATAGTTCACTGAAATCCCCAGACAATCTCAGTGCTTGGGATGCCTCCAGATGATTTCTCTTCTCCTAATCCTGGGCTAAAGTCAGTTATGAATGAAAAGAATGAACTGTACAAACTCATAATTGATGGGCTGCATGTCGTGTAAAACTGAAATAATGGACTTTTCTGGAGCAGTTGGCATTGATGTTTACCCTTTGTTATGTAGGATTTTAGAAATATTAGAAAATTAACAGGTAGGTTTGTCACACATAAACTCATTTATTGCAAGGTAGTCATGGCAAGGCACACATGTAAGACTTCATAACGTTCATTTACAACTGGAGAATCACAATTAACAATTACAATGTTAATTTAAAAGTTAGAGTTTTAATCTTTAGATTTCCAGCTTTTACCTTTAAGGAGAGGTCTTGGGAGGGAGGCTTAACCACTGCTTAAACTGGTGGAGGTCCCTCATAGTTAGGGTCCAAGGTTGGTGGCGGCGGCGGACAGAATCTCAGTTCCTGCTCTGCCTTCTCTCAGACACTGAGCAGAAATTTAGGGTTTATATATGAATTTGTCACCTCAGTTCCACAGGACAAGGGCCAGTGTTACGTGAAAGAGTAGTACGTTATGTCTTTTCTGCAGGGCTAGACAGTACCCGGGTAACGCATCTTTTCTTCAAGGTTAGAGATTAGGGAGGTTGTTTAGATTTATGTTATTTTTTCTTGTATCACAGCATGCCAGGTCAAAGTGAACTTACAGGTTGTTTACATCTAAGTTCAGAAATTTTCTAAATAACTTTCTTATGACTTACAGATTTCTAATGACTTACAGTTAATGTTAGAGAGAGCCTTACAAAGGTAGATATATTCCTATTCCAAAATTCATATTATGAGTGATTTTACATATGTATTTTGAAAGCATATTAGTGACTTATATCTTACGGGATTTGAGAGCGTTATAGAAACACAGAACACCCTTACTTGTCAGAAACCTCCCTTCTCCTCCCATGGCTTCTGGTTCACTTTCTGGCCATACTTTACCTCTCTTTTCAATAGTTCACCCTTTTCTGTCCAGTCCTTATTTAGCTGGCAATGCCTAGAGTTTTGTCATTGGGCCTCTTCTTTTTATCTACATGCTTTCTGTGGAGGAATATTATCCATCCTTAAGGCTTCTAGGGGCCCTCGTGGTGCAGTGGTTAAGAGCTCTGCTAAAGGTTAGCAGTTCGAATCCACCTGCTGCTCCTTGGAAACTCTATGAGACAGTTCTACTCTGTCCTATAGGGTAGCTATGAATCAGAATTGACTTGACAGCAACGGGCTTCTAAGACCATTTAAATGTTGTTGACTCCCAAGTGGCTTTTGCCAGCAACAACTTTTCTCCAGAGGTCTAGAAGTAGGTATGCAATGTCCTACTAGATACATGGACATGGATACACCTCTTCTCCCTTGACCCCAAATCTATATTAGCCCTCCTATGGGTTAGTGGCTTCACCGTTTACCTGTCTCCCAAGTTAGAAACCTTGGTGTTATTCTCACCTCCTTTCTCTCAACCCCCACATACAGTCAGCTGCCAAATTTTGTTGCTTCTAATTTTAAAATATCTTTTGCTTATATCTTTTCCAAACCCTGTGCTAGTGGCTTAAAATAGGCCTTCATCATATCTTCTTTGGACTATTATTGCAATAGCCGCATAATCTGCTTCCCTGATAACAGTTTTTTCCCCAAGCTGCCACTGTACATAGTTAGTTTCCTGAAAACAAAGCTTATCAAGTCATTTTTGTTTAAAAGCTTTCATTGGTTCTGTAGGCCCACAGGGTAAAATCCAAACTGCAGCCTGGGTACAGAACTCTTCACACCCTGATCCCATTCTGCCTTTCCACCTTGTTTCCTTTCCTACATTCATGTTCTCCAGGGTTCCTGTTGCCTCATAGTCTCACCACTTCTAACACATAACCACATGCTTTCAGAAGTTCATACATAAATCTTTTCAAGCTATTCCTTTTCCTCCTCTCCACCTCCATTCACTTGGAAAATTCCTACGTTTGTTAAAGCCAAGTTTAAGCATCACCTCCTCAGTAAAGCCGTTCCAAATTCTTTCAGGCTACTAGACATTTTCTCCCAGAGCACATTTGCTACAAACTTCAGTGGGGTTCTTAATTTTTCTACTTTCGTGTTTGTGTCTTACACTAGACTGTAAGCTTCTGAGTTCAGAGAACTGGCTGTTGTTGGTGTTGGTTGCCATGGAATCGATTTCGATCCATGGATAGAAGTTGTTTAATAAATATTGGCTGAATGAATACAATGTCCCTCCTCTCTCAACAAGTTTTTGATACTAGTCTCTTTCCTTCTTTTCCTTTCCTCCTACTACATTCCTAATATACAATCAACTCAAATTTGTATTTTAATAGCCTATTAAGTTGATCATCTAGAACAGCACTATTCAATATTGAAACCACTAGCCACATGTGGCTACTGAGCACTTGAAATGTGGCTAGCTCAAATTAAAATAAGCTGTAAGTGTAGAAACCCTAAGGGTCACTATGAGTTGGAATCAACTGGAGAGCAATGGTTTCTTTGGGGTGGGGGTGGTGGGGGGAGTCTAACCAGTGAGCCTTGGTGGCACAGTGGTTAAGCACTTGGATGCTAAATGAAAGGTTGGGGGTTTGACCAACCTTTCTGTGGAGAAAGATGTGACAGTCTGCTTTCATAACGATTTACAGCCTTGGAAACCCTGTGGGGCAGTTCTACTCTGTCCTGTAGGGTCACTGTGAGTCAGAATCAACTCTAGTGCAGTGGGTTTGTTGGGGTCTGACCAAGAGTGTCTTCTTTCCCTACTTCTCATTTACTGGCATTAAAGATTACTGTTTTATACAGCTTCTTGTATATTAAAGTGACACTGCCCAGTATTTAGCTTCTTGGCCACTCTTTCCCCTCCTTACGTACCCTATTGCTAGGTGTTTAAGACTCTGGAGCCAGACTGCTCTGGGTTTTAATTTAAACTCTTCCACTATGTAGCTCCACAACCTGGGCAAATTACTTAGTTCCTGTGCCTCACTTTCCTCATCTGTATCATGAGGGTAACAATAGTATCATAGGGTTGTGATAAGGGTTAAATGAGTTAATAGTTCAAGGCACGAAGTAGTCTCACTCAACAGATGTTAGCCCTTAATACATGTTACTACCATATTGTCTGTTTCTCTCGCCTAAAAGTAACTCTATGGAAGAGATTTTAAAAAAAAAATCTATTTTAGCCGTTTTGCCTATTTTATTCCATGCGTGTCTCTAGAATCTAGAACAGTGCATGTGTCAAAACTGCGTGTGAATAATTGTTGAATGAATAAATGAACCCACCCAATCACTATTATTTTTACATTACCAGTGTTGTGTCAGTAAAAGCAAAGGCAAGGAAACAAGTGAAAGTCCCTCCTTGTAAAAGGTCATCCTTTACCGGGTGATTAACCATTTACCCTAGGGCTGAGCGACAATCACATCACAAAAGTGAGGAAGCCCACAGCGGGCAGCACCAGATACCTTTCTCAAATCACCTTGGGCAAAGGCCCCAATGCACATGCGCAAAGACGAGGCGGGACGGGCTCCGGGACAGTTCGGCGCATGCGCAGTGCACCCGGCTCCTGGGTTCCTTCCTTCCGCGCCGCCCGGAAGCCTCCGTTCGGTTCTCCTCCCGTCGCGGGCTCCGGCGCTGCGTGCGGGGCGGGCCGGGCGAGGAGGCGGGACACGTCGGCGCTGCCACCGCCGCCGCCACTCCTCTAGTTCCAGCTACCGCCGCGGCTGCTTTTCGGTTGAGTTCTCCCGCGGTCCCGGCGGCGCCAGGTGCGTTCACCCTGCCCGGCCCGGCTCCCGTCTGCCGCCGCTGCCGCCGTAGCTGCCCTAGGCTCCCCGCCCCATTGCGGAGATGGCGACGCGCTCCTGCCGGGAGAAGGCGCAGAAGCTGAACGAGCAGCACCAGCTTATCCTGTCCAAGCTGCTGAGGGAGGAGGACAACAAGTACTGCGCCGACTGCGAGGCCAAAGGTAGCGCGGACGTCGACACCCGTGGCCGGGGCCTCCTGTGACCGGTGACCTTCCCCCGCGTCGCGGCGCCCCTCGCGGCCCGACCGGACGCCGCGGCTGCGCCCGCCCGGCCCCGGCCCTGACGGGAGGGAGGGAGGAAGGGCGGGTACGGGGCTTCAATTGCCCCTTACCTCCGCCGGAGGCGGCTGCGAGGTCAGACTGGAGGGCGCCGTCACTGGTCCCAGCCTACCCGCTTCCCCGGCCCTGGGCTGCGCCGATCCCCGCTTTGCGATGCTCGGACCCTTCACCGGGCGGTGCCCAGAGTAGGGTTGGGAGCGCGGAACGGGAAGGCGGCCTTGGGCAATGCTTGGGGTTAAAGGGTTGCTCCAGTCCTGCCTCTGCTCACAGGTACCTCCGTGGGTGGGGCCGCCCATAGGTGTTGGTCCCCGCCTCGGCCCTCCTGTATGACCACGTCTTTCCTCTCGGGGCTCAGATGCTCTGTTTCTCAGGTGTAGCCTACCCGCCTGTCCACCTGTCAGCTTATGTACAGAGTTCTTTTCTTCTGCTTCCTAAAAAAGAATGGTAATGATCCTATTTGTGGGTTGGAGTGTTACTGAATAAAATAATTGGGGAGCGGTCATTATTCTTAATAGTAGTAGGAGTATTGTTTCTAAGTCTGGATATTAGCCAAAACGAAGAGGAATTTCCTCACATGAGTCTCTAGGCTTAAGTTACTGAAGATTTTAATAATTAGATGCTCTCTGACCAGCTAGTTTAGGAGGAGGATTTGTGGACATCGGTTTGTGTGCCTCATAAACGTCGAAGGTTCATTTTAAAGGTCCAGAGATGGAAAAGACCTAATTTTAGTTTGTTCAGTTGGAAGGCTTCTGCCTCAGCCTTTGAAATAGATACACTATTTTTAGCCTATATGTTTTGGGTTTGGAGAGCTGATTTATATTTAATGTTTTATAAGTAATCTCGTGAGAAAAATGTTTCATAGTTCTTTTTTTTTTGTACACAGTCGTCTTCACATGGTTAGCAAAAGATCTTATTTGTAAATTGTTTTGTTTATTCAGATAGAAATAGGTAGCTCTCTAAAGCAGGAGAGTCTGTCTTTGGGAATGTCATTGAAGATTCCTGCATTATTTGATTTAGATTTTTCCTGAAGCTTTACTGTTTTTTCTCAGTACTGTATAAATGAATCACGTTTCATTAGGCAGGTAATGATTGCTTGGACTGAGCCACACAACATCAGCCAGTTACTTCACTATCACAACATATACTGGATTACTGAATGATGAATCGTGGGAATACTGTAACTAGACCATATTATGGAGCACTTTTCAATATTATAATAACTTGAAGCAATTTATATTTATTCTGTGTACCTTTTCATGTGATGAGTTAAAAAAAATTGTATGCCTGGTTCTTGTGGTAATATTTGTTTACCTGATACTTGATTTTGTGTGTGGTTATTTGGGAATACTGTACTGTATCAAAGGTCAGTTGCTCGTCACTTCATTTGTAACACTCTGAAAAAGAGCTTTTAAAAGGCCAGAAAAAGAAAGGAACTGAGTTTATATAGTATGCATTTTTGTCATTTTGAGTAATAAGTAACGTGGCTAAGTAGAGATGCTAGTAAATGTTAAAATCTATTCATTGAAAATTGAATGTCAGTTTCAGTAATTACCTTCATGTATAGAGATAATTAAAAAATAATTTTTTGTTTAAACTTCCCTTAAGAGAAGTACTTTATAAAATCAGATTTTCACTAATGCTTCCCAAAATAATTTATAGATTTTTAAAAAACCAAAGCCAAACCCATTGCCATCAAGTCTATTCCAACTCATAGCGACCCTATAGGACAGAGTAGAACTGCCCCATACTGTTTCCAAGGAGCGGCTGGTGGATTCCAACTGCCGAACTTTTGGTTAGCAGCCAAGCGCTTAACCACTGTGCTACCAGGGCTCCGAATTTTAAAAAGCCATTATTTATCACATGTTAGCATTTTTTTCTTTTTTGGGAGGGAGGAGGGGAGGAGGAGAATCATGTACTTCATGGATTAAGATCAAAAGTTCACCTCTTCTGACACAGGAATAAGAGGCATTAGTTTTACTCACTATTTGTACTGCCACCTCCAGCATACATCTTAGCACTGAGGTCAGTAGGTACATATTGAATGAATATCTTTTTAATTCTGGTTTTGTTTGGTCTTATTTTGATTGGTTTATTTGTTTTTGAGAAGTGGAGGCAGTGGGAGAGAAGAGAATAGCATTAAAAGTTCCAGGGTGCAACTTGAAGGGCATGAACGCGATAGTCACAGATTGAAAAGTTTCTACTAAATCTAGAATAATGTTAATATGAACATGTAAATTTTTTCATTATTTTATATTGATCTTTCAGGAAAAAATCACAGTTAAGTAGCTTAATTAGACTTGATTTCATAGTTGTAATAATTGAAAAATTTGACATGATTGGATGATTTATAAATTTAAATTTATTTTGCAATTTTTGATATGGCTGTACCCCATTATGAAGCCCTCCTGTAGTAGAATTCTTGGTTTATTACATGATTTTGGATTTATTATATATGCCAGATGTTATAGTAAATGGAGCCCTGGTGGCACAGTGGTTAGGCGTTCAGACAGCTAACCAAAAGCTTGGCTATTCAAATCCACCAGCTGCTCCTTGGAAACTCTGTGGGGCAGTTCTGCTTTTCCCTATAGGGTTGCTATGGTTTGGAATTGACTTGACGGCAGCGGGTTCAGTTTGGTTATAGTAATTGTAGGTAATGATTTTGTTTAAAATGTACATCTAAAAGTCTTGTTAAGGGTCTTATTCTGCAGTACAGTTATTATAAAGAGGTTCTATTCTGTATATATGTATTGATATTTCCTCAGTGTCTAATAAACTACATCAAGTTTTTCATGTATTTTGAAGCTGTTTCCTATTTATCTCAGTTTTCTTTCTTTCCAGGAACGTTGTTTCCACTGATCTTTGACAGCATGTACCAAAACATAAGCCGAGAGTGGACTAGAGATTACCTATTTCATTAACAGTATTTAGAAAGTAAGGAAGGACAAAAGGATAGCATAGGTGCCAGGTTCCTACTCTAGAACTTGCTCTTACCAAATCTGTTGAGGAACTGAGAATAAGAACAGGCAGATGGAGCTGCATTTCCTCTCCCTGGCTGCCTTCGCGACTCTGTGGGAGTTTTTAAAGCAGCCCTGTTGGTTACTAGTTGGTAGCACTTTATGGAGCAGTGAGAATTGAAGGCCCCCTGCCCTGAATCTTTTATTGTACTTATCACAATTATAATTAAACATTATTTACATAATTATTGGGCATCTTAGTTACCTAGTGCAGCTATAACAGAAATACTACAAGCGGATGGCTTTAACAACAGAAGTTTATTTTATCACAGTTTAGGAGTCTGGAAGTCTGAATTCAGGGCACTAGCTCCAGGGGAAGGCTATCTCGCTGTCAGCTCTGGTGGAAGGTCTTTGTCAAATCTTCCCTTCTCCTAGGAGTTTCTCAGTGCAGGGACCCTGGGTCCAAAGGACACGCTTCCCTCCCGGCTCTTCTTTATTGGTGGTAGGAAGTCCCTCTCCTCTCTGCTTGCTTCTCTTATTTCTCAAAAGAGATTGACTCAAGATGCAACTTAATCCCTTAGATTGTGTCCTGCATTATTAACATAACTGCCTCTAATCCTGCCTCATTAACAGCATAGAGGTTAGGCTTTACAACACATAGGATATTTACATCAGATTACAAAATGGTGGACAATCAGTACTGGAAATCATGGCCTAGCCAAGTTGACAGACACATTTTTGGGGGACACAATTCAACCCATAACATTGGGTAATCCGTATTTCTGTTCCATTATAGCTGCAAGAGAGAAGAGACAATACTTACGTTGCTTAGGGCTGTATCTGTAGTACAGTGTGTGGCATGTGGTAGGTAAATGTAACTCAGTAAGTGTCTTTTGAATGAGTGAATAAATGTGTGCATGAGCACAGAGTTAGGGGGCAGGTGGCAAGGTTTGTGAGTGTGCATATGGGGATGTGGATGACCCTGTTGGGAAGAATTCACAGGAGTCTCACTTGAGTTAGGTTCTGAAGGTGGAGTGAGATTTCACCAGATGGTGAAGTTTAAAGGATACATTCAGCTGCATACAGAAAGATACAGGTGTGAAAAAGAACACGATGTTTTCATATGACCCCTTTTGTCTTTAAGTTTTCTTTAAACATGATCAGATTTGGTGGTGGCATGTTAGGGGAAGAACTTGAATGGCAAGGGCCTTTAGGCAAGTCACTTAGTTAGGAGGAACTTAACAGTGGTCCAAGCAGGAGCGTTAAAAAAAAGACAAAACAAAAACAAAACCCCAAACCAAATCCATTGCCATCAAGTTGATTCTGACTCATGCCAACTCCATGTATTACAGATTAGAGTTGAGCTCCCTAGGGCTTTCTTGGCTGTAATCTTTACAGCAGCAGATCGCCAGGCTTTTCTTTCAAGTTGTTGCTGGGTTCAAACTTCCAACCTTTTGGTTAGTAAAGTACAAACCGTTTGTTCCAGGGTTCCAAGCAAGAGATTAAGAGGATTTAATGGCAATGTTATCAGTCAGGGTTCAGGGCAGGAAACAGACCATTGTAGCTATTTTAACTGAAAGGAGTTTAAGGATTTTGAGGTTTCTAGCTTGAATAACTGGGTGATAAATATTTGTGGAAGCAGTGCTCTGTGGGTAGAGATGCAAATCACTTTTTCCCTGCTCCCCCCCCCCCCAGTTTCCCTTTAATAAGGGACTAATATTTAAGCTATATGAAATGAGAATGCTGGGTCAATAGACTGAAAGCTCTGTTGAGAGATTCCAAGGTCCTGTCTAGAAGCATTCCAAGTCATTTTGCTGACTACCCCTTCTTCCTCCTTATGGAGATTTTCTGTGCTTCAGATCAAGGAAAATGTATTATGCAACAATTAGCAGTCCCCCCCACCCCCCACCTGCCCGTAGCTAGCACCAC